TGAAGGGAGTCTCAGATCAGGGTGGGGGTCCCTCTGGGGTGCCTGGCCAGCCTGGGTGAGGGGCTGAGGGCCATTTTCAGGCTGGTCAAGCCCCCCAGTTGGGACCTTCACCCCATGGGGTGTGGCCAGGCTGGCTGAGGGGCTGATGGCCATTTTCAGGCTGGCCATGCCCCCCAGCGACCTAAGCTCCCTAGCCCCTCCTTGAGTGGAGGACAGGGAGGGCTGGAAGCCTGTGTTGCCAGGTCCCCAGCCACTCCTCCAGTGGTGGCCAGGGCGGGTGGGAAGCTTGGCTTCCTCTGTCACCAGGGGCAACCCAAGCCTTCTGCTTGCTCCAGCTCTGTGGCCACCGCTGCCATCTTTGTTGGGTTATTTTGCATATTCGTACTGATTGGCTGGTGGGTGTAGCAGAGGGACAGTCAATTTGTATGTTTCCCTTTTATTGGTGTAGATTATATTGTGTTACGTATAGATCAAATATAAATTATCTATTTTCTTAAACTGATTAATAGTAACTGTTTATTGCTGTTTAATGCATATTGTTACATGGCAGGCTCCCAGGATGATGTGATAGTTGCCAGGGAAGGGAAGCTGTTTGGCAACAAGCCTGACACTATAGTACTAACCACAGCTAGGGGTCCGGTCTTCAGTTTTGCATGTTCATAAACTCAATATTCTAAAGGTCTTAAATTGATTGATGCTGGGAATGCAAAGTCATGATAAGGATGTTCACAAGAGCCCGATGTGTAAACCAGAATGCCAATTTATTACTTTACAAAGATAAACAATTGTTCATGGGATTTGATTTGAAAATAGAAAATTGTTTCCAGGCAGATCTTTGTGGGAAGCTAAATTATAATCAGAAAATTGTTGTACCATAGAATCAATGCAAAGGGAGTTAGTTGCGAGGAGAAACCAAGATGGCAGAATAGGTAAACACCGGAAATTGCTGCCTCGCACAACCACTTCAAAAATACAACTAAAAGACAAAACGGACATCATCCAGAAACACAGCAATGCTGACTGAGTGGAAAGTCTACAACTAGAAGGAAAGAGAAAAGCACACTGAGACTCAGAGGAGGTGCGGAAGTAAAGTGCAGAGGTATGGAGGCACACGAGGAAAGGGCTGGCAACTGAGGACACCTGTGTCGTTTTAATCGGGAGGGAGACACACGCTCCCGACTGAACTGAACTCCAGTTCCAGGTGAATCTCTGGGGACCCAGACTCATATGGGGAGAAACTGGACTGCCTGGCATCAGGCGGAATTCAAGGGCGGCTTTCTTTCAGAGGTGCTTGCAGTGATTACCGTGGCACACTGAGACCTGGAACCTCTTAGGGCAGGGCTGAGGATCAGCCATAGCTGTTTGCTCCACCCTGTTGATTCCCTGAGACCCTGCCCCACCCAAGCGGTGTGCAGAGGGTTTTGCAAATAAATGCCTTGGCCCTTTGCAATCTAAAATTACCTAACAAACTGCAGCTGGGTCAGAGAGACCCAGAACATCCAAAAGAAGGTCCAAGGCTCCACAGCAGCTTGCATTGCTTCACAGCTGGGCCTCATCTGGGCACCTCCAAACCCCAAACAAATAAGAGGAATCTGCAGATCTCTCCATAGCTCCTGCTGGGTAGCCTCAGGAAAAGGCTAAATTAGCACATCCTTAGAGATCCAAGAACCAGTGTACCCAGTGGTCAGAGTGGGATCATCCAGATTACAACTCCTCAGATCCATAGGGGACACACTCAGGGGGCAGACTCAGTGAGCACCAAATCCCAATGAAGCAAGTCTTGCCCCATAAGGGTGTCTCTCCAGCACAGAAGTTCTCCCACTGCAGACACAGCTTGATTCTCACAGCCAATTGGCTGGAGGTCAATTCCTCCCGGTGATACCTACAAGAATCAAGGCTTAACTACAACAAGACTGTGCACACAGCCCACAAAGGGGTGCA